TAAGAACAGGAATTTATTATCTCACAGTTCTGGAGGCTAGAAGTCCAAATCAGGGTATCGGCTGTGTTGTGTTGACTCCTTCTTCTTCTTCTTCTAAAATTTTTTCCCGTACAAAAATTTATACACACATTGTTATGTCAGTCTAATTGTTCTCCCCATAGCATACCAAAACTTCTAAGGGACATTAGGTTTGGCCACTGTACTGGTCTGGTCCAGCATGTGCCTCCCCTTTAGTCCACTCTTTCGTTACAGCTTCTACAATTAGTTTTCACAATCACAATTACATCTGTCACCATTACATTTTTTACCATCACATCTTTCAAAATTACATTTGTCACAAGTACATCTTTTAGTAATCATTCCTGCTTCCATTACTCACAGCTGAATCATATAGTCTTATCAGCATGTTCCCAACCCTCTCTTCCCCAGATCCAGCAGGAAAAGAGGAATCTATCCATGGGGATCCTCCCTTGTGTCCTCACATTTTGAGCATGAGCACACATTCTCAAAGGCGTGTAAGCCAGCCCTCCATGCCTTTATCTCCACCTGTTTTAGACAACCAAGGTGTAAGTGGCCTATCCCTATCAAATCAACGCTCTGAGGAGAAAAGCATGTGCCTTGTTATGCAGAATCTTCTGTTCTGGCTCTTTCACAGAACTCTGAGCCTCTGCATCCACCAAGAGCAAAGCCCAGTCTAGGGCAAGCCACCAAATTACAGTGAGCCCAGCTGCCTACGCTAATTTGTGGTGTCAAATCTCTCTCATCCCATTACCCAGGGCTAGGTCAGAAGGTACCAGCCACAAGCTTGGGAGCCCACATAACTTTCTCCCACTTTGGACTATCCAGCCTCAAAATCTCTTTTCCCTATTTACCTGGGGCTAGGTCAGTGGGTGCAAGAGGAACATACTCAGACTCAGGCCATCTCTGCATTGCTGCAACTCCCTCACTGACACCCATCTCATAGACCCAAGTGGTTACCTCAAGTGGGCATACTGGGCTATCTACTCACTAGCTTCCATTAACTTCCAGTCTTTTAAGTGGTTCTTCTGATGGGCACTGACATGTTCTACTTTAATGCACCCATCAGATTTCCACAGGGTTGTGCCCCACATGGGCACCCCTTTAATAAGCCAACAGCTTGCTGACCTTATTCAGTCAGCTTCTCAAAGTCCAATATCTAGCTAGTAATTGCCTTTTAAAATCTCCTGGTCTCATATGTTTTTGGCATAAGGCCTAATCAATGCTACACATAGGACTATTGTAAATTAACAACCTGTGTGGGCTTGAGCAATCTTCCTACGTCTCCTTTTAGCATACGCAACTAGTACTGCCTGAAGGACGGGCTTACACCTCTTTGTTTTTTATAATACCCAATATTCATTTCCATAATATATTCAGGTCTGTTTTACAAGAGGTAGGGAAAATATTCCCTCAGTTAGACCAACATCCATAATACGTTTACATAAACACGTAACACCTTTATATAAACTTTTTAAAACATTGCAGTTTCATCTTTTCTCTTTTCCACCCCCTGACTACGTTACTCATTTGTATGCATACGGCCTCAGGTCCCTGGCTGGGTCGAACCAGAAGAACTCTGGCCCCTCACCACTTATCTTGATTAACCTGCCGGGCTCTCATCCCAAGCCACTCCAGGTGTGGCTTTTCTTTCCTCACTATTCTGGAATAATAACAACCAAAGTAAACATCCAAAAAATCAAGTTTCTCATCCTCCTCCCATTTTCCTTTCTCTTCCGAATTCATACATTCCAATGAGCTGAAGCCACTGCAGTGAATTCCACCCGCCTGATACCAATCTGAAGGTAACTATGAGAATAAGAATCACAGAATTCTGATTCCTATGAGCCGGAGGTCAAGTATATCACTTTTCAACTTTTTCATTATCTCTCACACCAGCTGGTTTGATAATTTCCTGGAACGCTTCACAGAGCTCATGGACTATACTTATGATCATGTGGTTAAACAAAGCAGTAACAGGATACAACCAGAACAAGATACAAACAGAAGTAACGACACAATGAACGCTTCAGCATCAGGAAGAGGTACATGAGCAAGGTCTGGAAAGGTTCCCAAAGTGGAGGGCACGTCTCTCCCTTCAGTAATCAGGACAGCCCTTGAAGCAGAAATGCTCCCTGCCTTCTCCTGGCTGCCACCACTTCTCAGCTGGCCCAGCTCTTACAGTTCTCGGCTCTTGCAGCTCTCCATCAGTGCAGCAGCTCTCAACCAGGTTTGAGAGGATTTTCCGCATGAGGCTTCCATATCCCAAAGGATGGGCCATTTCTCCCAGCTCTTGTCAACCAGGAAGCCTTCGAACCTCTGTGTTCCAGGGCTTTTATAAGCCACTCCACATGCTCCCTGTCAGTTACTTGGTGGAGCTTTCTTGTCAGCTACCTTGTCAATTACAAGACTGCAGGGGGCACCCTAGCCACCAGACCTGACAAAGGTAACAAACCCTCAGGGGTAGTTGTTTTTCCCAAGAACTGAGCAAAAAGGCCACATAAGGCAATTCCACACCTCACAATTACCATTCATAGCAACTTTCTGGTAAAGAATGGAGGCCAGATCATCTCCTGTTGGGTGTGTCATACCCAGTAATCGAGGCTGCAGCTTTTTGTTATTCTGGACAAAATTACACGAATTATATTAACTTTAAACATCACTCCACATTAAGACTGTGTAGGTGTAGTACTTTGGACCTTGCCAGAGTGCAATTCTTTGTTTAAAATTACTTCACATATAACAGTATTAAAATATCCAAAGTGCTAGGTTAAATGTGATAAGAGAGAGGGTCATCATTAATTAAATATTTGCATATTTCCATAAGCATCTTGCCTGAGCTCCAAACCCATGATTCTGCCAAAAGATGGTATGAAAGAAAGAAAAAAAAAAAAAACTCAAAATGAAAAAAATACAATCGGGAATAAGCACCCATTCTTCCATATTATTATCAGACTGCAACACCACCAAAAATCATACTGTATCTCTGCTAAAGGCCTAAGATCTAGAATTCAGAATTATGAATCAGTTATCATCCTCTACATAGCCTTCTGAAATGAACCTTCAAAAGAGAACTTCCATACTCTGCTAAGACTGGGATTAGGGGACTGCCAAAATCTTTTAAATGTAACTCCTTTTTTGATGGAGGTAGGAGAGTTTGTTAACAACTTCGTGGATAAGAATCAGCATGAATCCAATCCCCAAAACGTGGAGATCGATCCAGCCCTCACTTTCTTACTTCTCAATCATTTGACACCAGCTGCCCAAGTGGCACACTCTCCTTCTGACTCTAGCCACCCAGAGCTGGGGCAGATCTTACAGGTTAAAAGGACACCATCCTTTAGATTGTAAAACAGGCAGATGCCAGTCAAAAGTCTCAGAGTGTATATGACATACTCACTTTAATCTGCTGGTTCTCCCTTCTCCTCTGGGTTCAATAATTTGTTGGAACAACTCACAGAACTCATGGAAAGTACTTATGATAATAGATTACAACAAAAGGATACAAATCAGGGTCGTCATAAGGAGACGCATAGGTGAGGTCTAGGACGGTTCCCAGTGCAGAGCTTCCACATCCCAAAGAGGGTGCATCACCCTCCCTTCACCAACCAGGAAGCTCTCTAAGCCTCCATGTTCAGAGCTTTCATCAGTCAGTCATGATTGAGCCCTCATGGCATATGCATGATAGGCTAAATCATGCCTCCTAAGGTTAGCTGACATCAGCCTACCAGGTGAGTCTTTTCTGGTCTGGCTACCCCCCACTTGTTAGCACAAGTCCTCAGGTATGGTCTGGAGGTTTCATACAAAGGCACTGCAATCACTCCCCGGGTTACTTCACAGAAACCAAGGACAAAGGCCAAAACTGTTTTCCATTACAAAACAGAGAAAGCTTAAGAAACCTTATAATGTTTCACATGGTGTTCATACCTATCATTTTTTAAGGATCTTGTATGTAAAACTGGTCAATTAAGATATATATACAGATACTCACAAAGTAGTTTCTCTTGCTCCTGTGGTAAGAGGAAAAGAGCTGTTTGTATGAAGTTGTAATACATATTACCAGCTAGATTTTTAAAAATGTGGTTAATTTTTTTGCTTTCCATGATAATAGGTTTGTTCTTTCATTACTTATTGGTTACCAAAGTAAGGATGAATTAACAAATTTCAACAGCCTAGATAATGAAAAGCCTTCAAAAGCTATGGTTTTGAGATTTTGAAAATTGGTTTTATTTTGTTTTGAAATTTCAAATCCATTTTAAAAGTATAATGCTGATTAGCATATAATGAATGGCTGTGACTAGAACTAAATGACAGTGTTTGTGTTTTGATTTAAAAATATAGCCAAAATATTCTATTTCACTTAGGCCCTAACATATCCCCCTGTAAAATATAAATCAAAGTCCTACGGCGACAATGCAAAGGAAATCCTATGTTGCAAGACCAATAAATTATGATATACCCAGTGTGACAGTTTTTAATAAGCTTAGAACAAAACAAAATAAAACAAACCTCTGAGCTTACTAACTAAGGAATTTGGAATATGAGATAGAACAAATACTCTACATGGGAGGGGGCACTGATGCAGGACAGGGCTGATTATCTAATACTACAATAGCCAAAACTTCCATTGGCCATTATTGTTATCAGTTAACAACTCAATCAAAAACATTCCAAAATCATTAACAACTCAATCAAAAACACTCCAAAATGAGTTCTTGTAAAGTAGGTTAGTATGATGTCAGAAGTAGGAATAAAAATATCCAAGTGGGATATGGGACAATGAAAAGACAAATTTTTTCCAACGTCAGAAAGAAACTATTAAAAGTACACAGAACGTGTATCAAGAAAAAAAATGATTTCCAATCTGAAAGACTTAATATAGTTTTTTGTGCTGAAAATATCAAAAGGAGTTGTTTGTAAAAATATGAGGCTTACTTTCTCTGACAGTATCTTTTAAAATAAATTACAAGCAACACCTCATATACATAAAACTTTTCATTTGGAAATGGAATTCCACTGGAAGAAAGGAAAAAATTAATGTTACACATCACAAAGGCACATCTATCCCTTCATGGATTCTTTTATCCAAAGAACTGTCCCTCAAGATATGCATTAGCTACATAACACCTTTCAAGGACAAGAATCCAAACAATAGATTCCAAGGTGTTCAGACACCAGATCCGTCTTACTCAAGGGCAAGTTCCTAGGCCAGAAGCACCTTATTTTGTTATTTTCCTTCTGACCTAACCCCCTCAGTTATATCAAAGTTTCCAAAACACTAAGTAAATCAAGGTTGAAGATATCTGTACCACTTTCTGATAAAAGCACTCCATTGAGATGAAATAAACCTGGAGATTCTGGCACAAGTGAAGCATGGCTGATAGTAGATCCTCCGATGAACTTCATAAAGGAACCAATTAGTTCATTGCCTTTCTTCACACATTTATTCATAAAATGTGGCTTCGCTGAGTTGTACCACACTTTTCTGGGTATCATATTGGACCACACTATAGTAACATTCTTGAACATTTGCTTGATAAATCTTAAATCTTTCTTTATTCGAGTTATAATATCCAACAACTCCATCACTCCCAGATCATTGCCACCCAGGTGCACCACCAGCACATCAGGATCTGGCAGACGGCGCCGTGCATGAACTAAGGTGGGAGTTAACTGATCCCACATCATGCCACTCTTCCCTATCCAGTGGAGTCTGGCATCCTCCACGGAAATGCCCAGCTGGGAACCAAAGCTTCTCTTGAGTGCCCGTTTTTCAGCCCAGAAAACATACGAATGACCACATATCCATACCTGCTTCTGCTTTCTTCTGGCATCTGCTATTAAGAGAACATAAACACATATTAATGTTGTCTCCTAAACTTATTCTTTTAAACTTGGTGGTGGTTTTCAACCTTTAAAATCAGAGTTCAAGTTCTCTTATAGTTTGGTAATGCCAATATGGTAAAAGTTACATGCTCAGTCCTAACAAAAATGTTTCACTCTTAAGAAACATATACTTGAATCTGGAGAAATAGAAATTTAAATTTTCAGTGTTTTAAAATTATATTTTATCCTCAGCTATCAAGAAAAGTTTACATTCCTCCTGATGTTTTTGCTGGTAAACAATGCCTGCAATGGAAAGAAATTTTAAGGTAAGTTGCCCAAGTTCCACATCTTTTCCCCTTGGTCTTCCAATGGAAAATGTTTTTGGAAAGATGATATCCAAAACACACAAGGTTTTACAACGAGTTCTGGAAAGAATTTAAGCTACAGATCATGACTTTTCTCTCCCTTAAATAATAAAACAAGTTTATTAAAATATCGCTATAATTGCCCAGACTTGATGGAGAAGCAGTACAGACCACCTGGACCAGGTTTTTCATTATTCAACAACTGTCTTCACTACTTAGTCAATGCCCTCGATGAGTCCCAATCTCATGAGGTGCTGTTTTTAAGTCAAGTTAGGCAGGAAGTTGTCTGCCCGTGTAACAGAAAAGCTGTAAAATGAAATGAAAAAGTAAATTCTCTAATCTTCATTCAGATGTTCAAACATCTCCATCAAAAACAGACAGAGAGAGCTGCTTTAAGTTCCAAGATCTGCATCTATCCTCAGCCTTCTTCACTACTGTCTCAGAAGAGGTTGCTATAAGGAATGCAATCTCTACTACTTAATTTTTAGATGGTTCTTTTTACTTCAATATTGTTGTAGATGGGTGAAACCAATACTTGTACAGGCAGCCACATCAATAATAAAAAGACAAGTTAGTTAATGGTGACTTCACTCAAGTGTTGTTTTATATCATAAATTCAAAACTCATAAGTGAAACTACCAAGTTCTTAAAAGTACAAGGATAAATAACCACATTCATTTCATTATATTCTCACGGCCTCAGTAACAAGAGTAGTAACACAAATCCTGACCATTGGTATACTAAGAAAATACTGATTATCTATTAACTCTCATATTCAAATGATACTTTTGTTTCTACTTTTCTTTATTCCAATTTTAAAGTTCAACAGTGTTTTGCACAACGCACCACTAAAAATCAATGAAAAAAATCAGGGCAAGCAACAAAGGATAGAAAAACTATACACACTAAATGATACCCTGTGTTTTTTGTTGTTAGTTGCTGTTGTCCTGGATTATCATTAAAGTACTGTTAAGGAAAAAAATAAAAGTTTTTTTTGACAACCTGTTCTAAAATCATAAACATTAGATCTGATTTTAAATACATCATTCTTCCACACCTGTTTTCAGGATATATGAAAATCATCCATTCTAAGATACAAAATGCCTCATATATAGTACTGAAATGGGTTAACATATAAAAGTTTTATAAATGGAGAGCCTTTAATACTAGCATCCCAATTAGAAACAGGGTGATCTAGAGTACTGCTCTCATTTTATTGATGATGTCTGAATCAAAAAGGAAGGCTTATCAAGATTAAGAGTATTTGTGGATTAAAGAGCTTCCGAACTCAAATCATTTAAATTATACTGTAGAAAAAGAGCTACACTAAAATAAGAACAAAAGCACATTTTAATAAATCACAATCACGGCACTAGAACTTCAATACCTAGAGTATACCAATGGCAAAAACAATAGAAATAAACAGAGCATATACATCAGGTCTCAAGATAATTACAAGGTATCAGAAAATGTAATAGAAAAATAAATTTCATAAGATTCTAAAACCATTCAGGCATTCAAGCAAAATATTTAATGACAAACTTCTATATATCAAACACTGTTCTGGGTATTAAGGGTGTGTGTGGGGAGAGATCGAGAGTGGGGAGGTGGAAGTGACAGATTGATCAGGGCAGGCCTGACTGTTCCATGCAAAGGAAAAAGGCAGTGGAGAAGCCCTAAGACAGGAGAAGAGTAGCAGGAGATGAGCTCTGAGAAGTTATTGGGTGGGGAGAGGGGGATAAGGAGACAGGATCATGTAGGGCCTTCTAGGCCTAAGAATGCTACACTGAACTGAGTACAATGGGAGAATCACTGGAACATTTTCAGCAGCAGAGTGACAGGAAAGAGTGATTAAGAGTTCATAAGATAAAGTGATAAGACAGATTTGATAAGATACACAGTGATACAAGTCATAAAATAGATTTATTTTTATGCCCTGGTGGCGAAGTGGTTAAGCACTCAGCTACTAACTGAAAGGTCAGCAGTTCAAACCCAACAGTTGCTCTGTAGGAGAAAGATATGGCTGTCTGCTTCCGAAAAGATTATAGCCTTGGAAACCCTATGGGACAGTTTCACTCTGTCCTACTGGGTCGCTATGAGTCAGCAGCGACTAGACGGCAACGAGTTTTTTATAAGAAGGCTCGTTTATATAATTAGAAATCACTTCAAGTTTTAGATTATGGGACATTGACCCATTAGTTTTTCCTCTAAGAAAGGAGAGTATTCTAACATTGTACACATAAAAGTGAAATGCACTTTTCACAACAGGAGACTTTGATGTTCCCTACGTGGAGAAATACCTTATTTTTTACACAAATAACGTGTGCCTTCTATGTTTGCTTGCCAACGGCTCCCTTCCCCTGCAAGGTATTTTCATGGGTGCCGCTATGCCAATTTTTTTTTTTTTTTTTACATGTTGCTGTATAAGTTTTCAAGGGTACTTACCAACAGTGGTCACAGGAGGCTGAGAAGGGTACTGGGAACTTGTTGTGGCAGGATACTGACCACCAGGTGGGTAAGGACAGCCTGGGTAACCACTAAAAGAACAAAAAATACTAAATGTTTAGATGACACATTACAGTATCTTTAAAAACCCCACTCAGAAAGTTAAACTTGACATATCATTGTTTCACCAGTTAACGAGTTTCAGAGCTCCAAGTATCTATTCAAGTAAAGTTCTATGGAAATTGCATTAATGACACTGAATTTACTCTTTTTATTGTGTTTTTGGTGAAAGTTTACACAGGACAATTTCTAAACAAACTGTTCAGCAACATTTAGTTACATTTTTCACAATACGTCAACATTCTTTAATTGTGTTCTGGTTGTTTGGATTTATTCTTAAAGTAAGTGGTTAAAATACTCTTGCTTGGCCTTGGTTATTTAAAGGTCACCTTCACTGAAGCAGAAAGCAGCTAGAATATTCCTCAGGGAAGTCTAAGTATCAGGACTCAAAGCAACAAATATTACGTGAGGAACTTTTTCCCTTTTGATTTCCTAGGTGATAGGGAAATTATATACTATTTAATATTTACCTGTGGTTCACTGGTAACCTTCGCAAATATTTATTGTACAAAAGTCCTTTTTAACTAAATAAAGTTGTAAAAAATTTCTTCTCACCCTATGGCTAGTTTGTGTCATTCATGTATTCATATCAGAGTCAAAAGGAACTTTACTTAGAAGTATTCTACTCCAACTCCTATCCCACACTGTTTATAAATATCATTTTATAACATCCCTGACAATTGCTCATCTTCCTTTATTGAACTCTAAATATCATATCAATGTAACTGCTAACTAATGGTCCTGAATTGGAATTCTGGATGGTCACAGAATAAGCAGTCAAATATTTGAGACTTTTAACATTTTCTCTCCAGTCTTTTCTTTACCAGGTTAAATATTCTTAGTTCCTTCAACCACTCTTTACAGGACAGATTAGATTTTCAGATCTGGTCACCTTTCCCTGAATGCTCCAAAGGTTGTTAGTGTTTTTCTTACAATAGAGAAGAAAAGTATAGTAACATGATTATTAGCTACCTGTTAGTTGGACAAGAAATTTTGATTACTCCTACTTTAGCTATAATTGGCAGATCTATGACATTTGTAATTCTGATCGGCATGTCCTCTATGAGTTCTTTCAAGTTATTGATTAAAAAGAGCCAGCTAGTGCCCGGGAGCAAGAGCTCTAAGTTCATGGTCAATAATTCTTTTTCATTGCTGCTGTTCAAAGATTCCCGTTTGTACTACCAGCTCACACTTTAACACTTGTTCCCAACAATAACATGGTTGGAGTAGACTTGCTGAAGATGCAATGTAATCATGGTACTTCCTTGCAAAATCAAAACAGAAAAAAGCTAAGTGCTTTTGTTCTGGTGGACCCATGTTGGAGGCTACTGAACACTACTTTCATTTCTAGTCTCTTTAGTAATCCATGCTAGAATGTTGCAAAGAAACATTGTCAATCTTCCTGAAATTTCTGAATCTACCTTTTTGAATACTGGAATAAATTTGTTCTTTTTTTTCTGGAGTTCTCCCCATTTTGCATACCTTTTCAAACATAAACTATGATAATACTGCTCAGTTTTTCAGTAATATGGGATAAAACTTTTCTAGGCCTAGAAATAGTAACTTCAGATAACTCCCTGTCTCTTAACTTAGTTTGCTCAATTTCCGCTTCATGATTAGTCTCTACATTCAGGTATAATAATTTTTCTTGAGTAAAAAAACACTGAGTAGTACTATTTTCTTTGTATATTATTAAAGGAGCTCTGGTGGCATGGTGGTTAAGCTCTCAGCTGCTAACCGAAAAGTTGGTGGTTTGAACCCACCAGCTGCTCTGCAGAAGAAAGTAGTAGCAATCTGCTTCTGTAAGATTACCAAAAAATCAAACCGTTGTCATTGAGTCTATTCTGACTCACAGCAACCCTGTAAAGCAGAGTAGAACTGTCCCATAGGGTTTCCAAGGCTGTAATCTTTACAGAAGCAGACTTCCGCATCTTTCTCCCGTGGAGCAGCTGGAGGGTTCAAACTGCTGACCTTTTGCTTAGCAGCCAAACATGTTAACCACTGCGCCACCAGGGCTCCTTCTGTAAAGATTACAGCTTTGGAAACCTTATGGGGAAGTTATACTCTATCCTATAGGGTTGCTATCATTTGGAATCGACTCGACGGCAACAAGTTTTGGGTTTGGTACCTTATTAAACAATTTGCCCTCTGTAGCAAATCTATTTTTCAATTTAAAAGCCCCTTTTGACCTATGTTTTTTAGAAATAATTTTCCAAGACTCTTATATTCCTTTTTCTTTTTGCACCTCTTGAAAAATTTACTATTTATTATATTCAAGGCACTGTTCCTAAGTGTTTAAGATAAGAACTAAGATACGAATTCATCTCTCCCTCAAGAGGCTAATAATCAAAACAGGGCAAGATCCCTGTCAAAATCCTGATAGAAGGACAAAAGAAATCACAAGTGGTAAATAAAAGTTGAGGAGATGTGCAGTGGAATATTAATACCAACTAAAGGACATCAGGGAAGATTTTGTGAGTTCTGGAATATCTATGAAGTTGTACCTTTATTCCCTTCAATTACCCTACTTACACCTACTCATAACCCTGTATTTCCTACCTATACGAGAGTGTTTCCCTATTTGTTACTGGGATTTTTTTTTTTTTTTTGGCCTCCATACCTTTGCTCACATAAAATGAGTGGGCTGGATTTGATAATCAGTAAGTTTCCTCTCAGTTATAAAATGTTACGACTCTTTGCGGCTCCCTCCACCTCCAAATATCTAATATCCTCCTTTAAGGTTGTTATGGATTGGATTGTGTCCCCCAATAATATGTATTGTAAATCCTAACCCCTGTACATGTGGATATAATCCCATGGGGGAACAGGGTTCTTTGTTATATTAATGAGGCTACATCAGTGTAGGACGTGTCTTAAGTCAATCACTTTTGAGTAGAACAGGAGCATCTCAGGCACAGAGGCAGCAAAAATGGAGGGGGAGACACGTGCCACATGATCACCCAGGAACCTAGTAATAGAAGCTGAGAGGAGACAATACCTTCCCCCAGAGTGGACAGAAAGAGAACCTTCCCCTAGAGTCGGTGCTCTGAATTCAGACTCACAGCCTCCTAAGTTGTGAGAAAATAAATTTCTGTTCATTAAAGTCAATCACTTGTGGCATTTCTGTTACAGGAGCACTAGATAACTAAGACAAACGTCACTTTCAAAAACCAATTCTCTCACTTGTGAAGCTATCACCAGACATGACTGCTCCTTTGAAGCTTTGTTTCTTTCTCACAGCCCTTACCAGGTATCAGGAACTGTCTCCTAATAATCTTAATACATGCTTGCTAGTACACATACCAAAACTGGAACAACTACTGGTGACATGCCTTTTAGTTTCCTTGTATACATGCTGCAGGTGCTAAATAAAACTCCCAAAGTTCTTAAGATTTGGAAGGGACCTCAGAGACCATCTAGTCCAACTTTCTACAGCCAGAATAAAGACTTTCATATTCATTGTTTTAAGATAAAGAATCATATAGAGTCACTGATTAATTAATTCTCCTTCAGGACAAAGGGAGTCTAGAAAGAGGTTCTAAGGCTTCTGCCAAGATCTTAAACATAAAGAAAGAAGAGACAGATGGCAATTTGAATAGTTACCCTTAATAACTCATTAGTTTGCAGTGCTTTGAGATTAAAGGCATATTCCACAGTAAAAAACATCAAATCTTTGAAAAGTAACTGTCTCAAAAGGAACTTCTTACAAATAACCTCACAAAGGACACTTCATTGGTTACCTAAGACAGATGAGTAGCCCTGGTAGCTTAGCAGTTAAGAGTCTGGACGCTATCCAAAAGGTCAGCAGTTTAAATCCAACAGCTGCTCCGTGGAAAAACTATAGGGTAGTTCTACTTTCTCCTATAGGGTCACTATGAGTCAGAACTGACTTAATGACAATGGTTTTTTTTTTTAAAGACAAATCCAAAAGATTCACATTTTTGTCAATGTTTTCAGCCTTCATTTTTATCTACAAGTTTCTTTTAAATGGCTGTATTATTTAGAAGTCCATTTCCTTATTGTATCTCCAGTAACAGTTCTCTGTATGTCCAAAGTTCTTTCTTACTTGCAATTGTTAACCATCATGGTTTGCAATTTCAAGGCTTTGGACAGGATTCCATTTGTAGAATTCAACAGGAAAATTTAGGGTCTCAAGAAATATGAAATTTAGAGCCTGTTTATATATTACTATCACAGACATCTTTATTGTCCCTGACAATGAAGTCTCTGTTTGCCTATCTTAAGTGACAGAATGCACACTACATCATAAGGTGGGTCACTGGAATTATGAAAGGCCCAGATAAGGAACAATTCAGAAAAAGGTGAGAACGGTTGCACAATTTGTTACTGAACTGTACATGAAGAAATTGTTGAACTGGTGTATGTTCCGCTGTGTATATTCTAAAAAGCAACAAAAATTAAAAAAATAAATTAAAAAAAAATCAGAAAGGTCCAGAAATGAAATAAGTTTGCTAAATTTAACTTACAAAATTCTGGATATATAGTATATGCACATACATTTAGTTATGATAGATGTTCAGGAAATTTGGCTGCATTTTTCTATATGGATTATGATTGGGTTATATGAAGCTAAGAAGTGTTAGTAGAGTTAAAAACTTCTTGTTAATTGATAGAGTAGCTGGAAATCTCATCCAGGTACCAGCATATGTCAGTCTTGCATTTTAAGTTAGCCCAAAGACCACCTTTGAAAAGTACTCCCAGACGACCACTGGAACAAGCACACATTTAAAAACATAGATTAATAATTATGTTTCGTGGATATTCTAGTGTGTGTTATTCACAGACTGATTTTACTATGAATTTAATTTACCGGTGTCGTGTCATTACTAAATGGAGAATGGCTGGTAGTACATACAATTTATGAACTAACAGAACAAACATCATGGGGACATGACCCCATTATATGAACTATTAACTGGTTCTCTGTAATCTACACGGAATACAAGGTTTTTTTTTTTTTTTTTTAGAAGATATTAAAATATGTTTTCCTTTCCTGAATTTATTACAACTAATATTCTATCAATCTTTCAGCTATCTACATTGGATATACAAAGTTTTTAAGAGAGATGTAGCAAAGATTTCAAAACTGATTATCATCACTATCCCATCCTTTTCCTCCCAGTAAATAAAATGATGCTACATTTCTCCAGACTGCAAAAAAACTCCTTTCAAACTATATATGCATATGTATACATATCATAAAATTCCATCAATAAACCGAGTTTTACCTTCCATTAAATTGCAAATAAATTTATTTTATTTTAATGCAACCATTATTTTGATTCTAGATCTAGTGATAGAATTTCTGATATAACTATTCAAAAGATACTTTTTCATTACCTGGGATTGGGAGGGTATCCGGATGGGTATGCAGAGATTCCACTTGGCATACCTGGCATGTAGGAAGCTAAAAACAATTTTTAACAGTTTTTAATAACATGCATAGTCCTGAGTATGTAAGCTATCAAATAAGATATACATCACTATCAAACCACAACAGACTTGTATACAATTAAAAAATCCAAATCTCAGCACCAAAACACTCCACCCATACTAGGTCTAAACTTTAAGTAGTAAATATTTTCAAATCACTTAATTCCTAAGTCATTCAACATAAGTTACAACACTTAAGACAATCCCCACAAGGAATAACTGGCAAACAGGTCAGCCTGGTCAGCCCTACAACCTCTCAAGCAGTCTTTAAGCGGAGACAGGAACTGGTTCAATTTGGAATTTAGAGGAAGGTAATTCTGCTGTCCTCTGGTCCAACATCAGCTCTCAGAAAGTGACATGTTTTTTCTATCTAAGGAATCTTCCGACATTTCTTTAAAGATTAGGTTGACCAATTAGCACAGCTGGTTTTTGTTGGCCTGATTGAAGACTTTAAAAGACTTCAGATTACTATTAGAAGTCCTACACAAAACCTACATTCAGAGAGACTGGTTAAAAATAAAACAAAAGCTTGGAAATACTCTATGAACATTATACTAAGAAAAAAGGTTAAAATTCAGCAACCTTAAAAATGCTTTATATATTCCTTAAAGAGAACACTAATGGCAGTGGTACCAGGACGCTGAAGAACACAGATGGAGAGAAGTTAATTTTGGTCTTAACTGGAAATGACTTATTCTGAGAATCAATTTTTCTTCAGTGAAACTTTTTTCACTGAATACAATGATGAATTAGCCCTTAATTCAATCAATGAATCTTTTAGCGCCTACTTTGCGGCAGGCACTGGGGATCCAATGAAAAAAGTAGAAATAATCCCTGGCCTCAAGTTGCTTGGAGTCTAGTGGAGGAGATAAGTAAGCAAGCAACAACAATACTACAGAGTGGTGAGTGTTAGGACAGGGTAAGTACAGAGTGTTATATACAGGATCAGCCTAATCCTAGGGGGTGGGAGTGAACAAAAGTGATAGAGAATGGTATACGAAGGTTTAAAGGCAAGAAAAGAGGAACATTCAAGAAATGAACTTCTATAGCACAAAATGCAAAGGATTGGGACAAGTATGCTGAGCACAGACCAAGAAAGGCCTTCAAAGCCTTTACCAGAGTTGGTGGGCATAAATGTCCGAATAGCAGTGTTCACAGTCTTCTGGTTAGAACGAATACTATAGATGGCCACAAGTAAATTTTTCTTAAGCATAATAAAGCCATGGTGATGTTCAATGATACTTCAGAAAGGAAAAACCTCTTGAAATGCCGTAATTTTTTCTTCTCAGGAACAAAGGACATTCTAACATCTTTATGAAAAGATGGGGCTACTATTAAGCATTAGCAAAACACTCAGTCAATTACTACTCCTTCGTGATGCTATTTCTCTTCACACATACAAACCATTAACTCATAAGCAATTTTCTCACAATTATAAACAATTTTCCTTTGCCACCCCAAATCTCTATGGTTCTGGAAAGCAAATAATTTCACCAAAGTCTTCAAATTTGAATTTGGTTGACAATAAACGTCATCTAGATCCAAGGCTTGAAAGAAAGCAGATAACAAGGCCAAGTAATTTTAGAGCCAGAATAAAATGGGATAATAACACATATACAATATGAGGTTACTGTGGAGATTAAATGGAAATGTATATGAAGTGCTCAGCTTTGACACATAGTTACCACTCAATAAATGTTGATTATTACTGTTACTGGTCAAAAAAATAAGGTTTCACTGTAACAATTTTTTAATGTAACTCAAAATGTAAGCTCAAAAGTCGTGAATGTAAATTTTAATGTAAGCTCAAAAGTCATCCTAAAAGAGGAAATAAAAAATGTTCTGAGTAATGATGATAATAATAGAAAATATATAATTTCTCAACTTTGAATATTTAAGTATATGTTCAAATTTCTGGGCTATTCCTTGTTGGGGGTGGAGGTAGAATTCAGACCTTCATTTCTTTACAGTCATACCTAATGATAATGTATATTGTCTATATGTGTAAAACCAATTACCACTGGAATGAGCAATAAAGTGGTCTCTTTTAGTAATTTACTTAAATTAGCTCTAGAGTGCTTACTGTGACTCACAGGAAGTAAGTGCAAAACTAGACTGCAATAGTGACCATAGTATGGTCTCTCTCTAGAATGCTGCACTTCCAATATCAATATAAAATTGGAAGAAATTTTTAAAAAATTTTCTTTAGGAGACTACTTACATTTGTGAAAAGGTTACCTTTATCCTAAGTGGTCACCAGCTGTATTATCTGAGCAACTAACATTCAATGGTGAGACTAGCAAATATCTGATACTCCAAATTTAAATGAGGAAGATTCAATTTGGGGTTCTAGAGACAACAGAATTATCTAAGATGAAAACGAATTTCTTGCCCAAAAGAATCACCAGAGTCTCCTTTATTAAAAGAGCTGCTAAATCCTAAAATCATACTTATCTGGGAAGGTAAGAAAAGGGAAATGGGTTCATAACGTCCCTTCTTTTAGAATCCCATTTCAGCCATGAGTCAAGATGCTCCTCAAGATAGAATAAATTAAAATAGGGTAATATGACTAGGAGAAAAATGAAAGCTTACATAATTTGGTTCATGAGAAAAGTGTGGTTAATTATAACCATAAGCAAAATTTACCAAAAAAAAAAAAAAAAAAAAAAAACCCCACAACTCAAAACAAAGTGAAATCAATACAGGTTTAGTAATGTCAAAACAAGTAAGTACAACCAACTCTCAATCAGGGTGACTTTAAAGTATCAGCATTATTTTAAAAAACAGAGAAAATATGTATCAATCAGGGGAGAACTGGTACTGTCTCCATGCCTCCACTCCCTTCACACAAGAAAAAATCATGAATTGGCTGTACTTAAAAGAAGAAAGCTGAGAGCTAGAAGCTCAGTTGTGGATACCCAGAATAGATTAATGCAAATAACTTAGTTCACCTTGTAATTGATTCTTCTCTACAACACTGATCCTGGAGTGGAAAAGGTTATATATGCCTCCAAGCTATCAAATAAGGCAATTCCAGGTCATGCAAAGTTAAAAAAAAAAATTCTAGCATTCTTTCTCCTCCATTTTGGAGCCCAGCACATCCAACTTAGATTTCTACCCGCAAATGGAAGCCCAAATGTCAGCATTTGGTAGGAACCTGTACATGCAGATGTGGGGTCTCAGAATACCTTCCCCAAATCTACTAACTTGATAACCTAAAGAGTAAAGTGAAGTCATTAAAAAAATTTTTACAAGGTTTTTGTTTTATTTATATGAGTTTTAAAATCAAATCTCAAATCTACTTACTATTTGGCGGGCCTGTTGCCTGGTATGGTGGATAGGATGCTGAAACATTAGGACGAGAGAAGACTGGAGGTTCATCTCCAAACACTACAATCATGACCTGAATAAGCCCCAACAAGTCTGACTGTGGCTGAAGAGGAAAACAAATTTGAGTCAGCTATTGATTTACTTTTCTGCACAAAGGAAACATTTGGTCATTTCTCATCAATTTCCAACTTGGCTCGATAATTTTCTCTGAGGGCTCCCAAACACGAAAATTCCACTTAATTAATTAATCTTAAAAAAAAGAAGTTAGGTGTTTTATTATTAAACCATTATTTAAGGTAAGGCTATTGCTTTATGTATATAAAAACAGCATTAGCCAATGCTGTATATTGCAAAATTCGGACAGTATTCTTTTTTGCTTGATTTCACATAGTCAACTAAAATTTATTTTATTACAAACAGACAAATTAAGTATAATGGTACAAATTCAGGGATGGCTGTAAGCAGTAGCCATATTATTATTTAAGGTCTTTAATAGATACGTTACACTAGAAATACATGTTCTTAAAATTAATTTTTATTAAAGATATTATTATGAATTCTGGACATTACAGGTAAACTCTAGCTTAGAAACACAAATACTAGGTTGTTGTACAACAACGCAAATTGTTACAGGAGCTTTCTTTCCATAGTTACAAATAAAGTGCCTGTTTCTCCACAGAGATAGCTTCATTTTCTATTTCAAATATCTACTGACCACTAATTTAAGACAAACTATGCTAGGTGGAGTTATTCAAATGGCTTAGTTGATGGTTCCACTTTCACTCCTTTACATATTTATTTTATCTCATATGCTTCTTCATTCATTCGTTCATCAGGTTCTGGAGGATTACTCAGTCATTTTGATCAGCCAGCCATATTCACAGCAAGGTTTGTTGATAAGTCCTGAATCTTCTGTAATGGTCTAACTTCTCTTCTGTTAGAAGAGTTCACTAGCAGCTTTCACCTTTGTCATTTGTTTAATTTTGTCCCAACTTAAGGAAGACAGACAAAAAATGACATTTCCAAAAGCTTCCTGTAAAAATTTGCTGATTCCCACTGTCGCATACCTTTCTCATATCAGTTTATGACTTTATATGCTGAATGGGAGGTAAGCACATGCAGGATATGGGCAGCACCCAGGGATATGGGCTAAGGTGGTGGCTGATGGGAGGATGACCACAGAGACCACACACTTTTACTTCTTATCAATTTTTAGTCTACTGAAAAACTCCTAAAGTAAATCATAACCCGGCACATTCTTTTTTTATTGAGATTTAATTCACGTACAATCCACCCTTTTAAAGTGTACAGTTCGGTAGTTTTTAATATTCACAAAGTTGTACAATCATCACCACTATTTAGTTCCATATCATTTTCATCACCCTACATAGAAACCCACACCCAGTACTAGTCTCTCCCCTCCCTGGCAGCACCTGGCAACCACTAATCTACTTTCTGTCTCTATGGATTTGACTATTCTCGCCATTTCAAATAAATGGAATGATACAATATAAGCACTTTTATGTCAGGCTTCTTTCACTTAGCGTAACGTTTTCAAGGCTCATTACGTTGTAGCATGAATCAGTGCTTCATTCCTGCATTCTTATAACCATAGTTTTCTTAGGACAAGTTTTATCTGAATTCTTTATCATAGTATTCCTTCCATACAAAATTATTTGAAGGAAAGAAGTTTAATCTAACCTTTAATATTTACTTCCAAGCCTATTATAAATCAATAGGTCACGAATTCAAAGTAATTCAAAATGACTTGGTGATCAAGTTGGTGGTGGTGGTGGTGTTAGCTGCCGTCAAGTCGATTCCAACTCATGGTGACTCCAAGTGTGCAGGGTAGAACTACACTCCACAGATTTTCAGGGCTGTGACCTTTTGGAAGTAGATCGCCAGGCCTTATTTCCAAGGTGCCTCTGGGTGGGTATGAATCACCAACCTTTTGGTTTAGTTAGTGTTATTGTCATTAGTTGCCATCGAGGAGATACCAACTCAGTGACCCCACGTGTGCAGAGCAGAACTGCTCCAAAGGGTTTGTGAGGCTGTGACCTTTCAGAAGCAGACTGCCAGCCTGTCTCCTGAGGCGCTGCTGGGTGGGTTCAAAACTGCCAGCCTTTTGGCTAGTAGTCCAGTGTTTAACCTGTGCCACCCAGGGAGCTGCAGATTAAGTCGGTACAGTATATGAAAAAAGTAGCAAGAATAATGTAGCAGTTTATTTGAGCTCAAATACCCAAGGGTCAACTGAAACAGATAATAATCTTTCCCATTTAAAACTCTGTAAACTTAAAGAGCAAAATTCCTTTCCCCCATCCCTTTTTTACTTGTTTTTCCAACAAGTAATAAAAAAGTCGGATTTTACATTCTAAGCAGTATATGACAGATGTTCAGGATTAGAATTAATAAGCAACTGAACTGGTAAGATAAAGATAAATGGCAGTAGCCATAGTTTATGGCTTATGTCCTGTGTCATGCTAGATTAGTGCAACAGCCTAAGTAGCTTCCAGTTTTACTTATCTATTATGACTGAGATGGTTTTCTAAAAAAGTTCATGCTCCTCCTTCATAATACAGAGTTGTTCCAGCCTTCTTTGCAACTAGTTCTTACTAATGGAACACAAATAGAAATGATAGGTTTAACTTCCAGCCCCAGGTGGATAAGAAGGAGGTGTTACTTTACCACTCTCTCTTCCCCCTTTTTTCTTGATGCAGAGAACTCTGAAGTCTTGGGTGGCACCAAAAATTGGAAAGAGCCTTGGTTTCTGAAGCACCAAGTGGAGGAATGCTGTCTGCCAGTGAGGAACACTCACATGGGAATATTATGTGGGCAAGAAACAAATTTCAACAGTGTTAAGTTTCTAACATTTTGTGAGTTACTTTTTAGATTAGCTGGCATTACTCTTATTTATCCAGTACACCTAATAATCACTGCTTTTCAGTATGCTACTCTTGTTAAAACATCTTAAACGACTGTGTCTATTCAAGTGGTCTACTAAAGAACAAAGTCAAGACATTCAAGATCCTCTATGATATAACTTCATCTACCATACCAAACTTAGTCACCATTGTTTTTTTTTGCGAGATTTTTAAATACGTCATACCTATAGAAATGTATTAAAAATATGTACATTATAAAGAGTAACAATAAAGAATACACCTGTGTAGACATCTCCCAAGTTAAGAAACAGAAAACTGTCAGTAATTTAGAAGTTCCTCATGTCTTCCTCCATGGCCACATCCTCCTCCTCCATCTATTGCAGAGGTAACCACTACTCTGACTTAGTTGATAATCATTCTTTTGCTTTACTTTAAGCATACTACCTATGAATGATTTCCTATACAGTACAATCTTTGTTTTGTCTGTTTTTGAACATTATATAAATTCAATCAAACTCTGTGTATTCTTTTTTGACGTGTTTCTAATGTTTAGCAATATGTTTTTAAGATTCATTCCTGTTAAAGAATATAGCTATAATTAATTCATTTTCAATGCTACATGGTGTTCACTAATCGTCTATTCTACTGAATCCAATCTGCCACTAACCTCATCTATTGAGTTCTTAATTACTATTACTATATTTTTCAGTGCTAAGATTTCCACTTGGTTCCTTTTTAATAGAATTCTCCATCTTGTCATCTATTTTCTTGAACATACTAATCACAATTATTTTCAAGTCTGTGTCTGATAACTGGGTCCCCTAGTTGCAAGAGTTTGTTTCTATTTTTTTTTTCCACCTCTTGATCCTTTTTCCTGGTATGCTTGATAATCAGTGAGCAATCCTTTTACCTGTGCTTGGAATCCTCCTCTAGTGCCAACAAAAAGCATATGCTAGTGATCAAAATATATAAAATAAAACCAATTTACAGAACACTGTTAATACTTACATGTTTCCATTCATGTAGATAAGGAAGATATATTTTCCCATTTGCATCAACATGCTTTCCCGTTTTAATAGTCATAGAGCTAGTAGGCTTAACGAAACAGATAGGGGGATTATATGGATATGTGTCCAGCAGCCACAGGCATATTGGAATGTTGTATGTATTACCTGAGACAGAGAGAGAGAAACTTCAGTTACTCTATTTTTATTATTTTTCAACAATAGCAAGGGAGAGCTATAACTAAGTAACACTTTAAAGAAAAATCACAACAAATATTATTTTAGGGTATTATATTCTTCTGTTTCGAAGTTCTGTTTAAGATCAGTTTTTCAAATTTTCACTTTGTAAAATACATTAGCAGGATTAAGGAGCTAACAGATCATAAAGAAAGATCTATTGGATCAAAGGATCTGATACGAGTTAACATAGTGAACATAAATCACATGAAAATTAGAGCATTCTTATAATAATTATTCAAACAGCTATTTGAATCACTGAACAATGCAGAGATATTTTTCCATTAAAACAGTTTCATTACATACAAGGATGTACACATAAATTTTACTTAAAGAAACTGGATAGATGTAGGGCTTTGGATTTATTTTTTTACCCTAAATTAGTTCTGAAATATTAAAAAAAAAAAAAAGACTGTATCTTACTACATAAAACAAGTTATTCCCACCATCTAGAATTCTTTGCTTTATGAAAATGAAGAATTTCCCAAAATTACTTAGGCTTGGGAACTATACAATTATGAGGAATGGTTGAGGAAACTGAGGCTTAGTTTAGATAAAATTAACAGCATATATAATAAATGTCTTTAATTATACCTTCCATAGCTTCCTGTTCCCCCACTCCCACTTACACACACAAATCTATTTCCCTTATCAGAGTTTATTTCCTGACAAAGACAAGATCAATAATCTTAAACTTTACTCAGTCCATCTTAAACTCACACTTGCTTTATACAATGCTGATACTCAGTGTTTTTTCCCTCTACCTGTATGTCATTCTGTTATGAATGGCTACTTGTCCTTTAATAAACCAAAAAAAGAAAAAACCGTTGCCGTTGAGTCAATTCCGACTCACAGCAACCCATTAGGACAGAGCAGCACTGCCCCATAGGGTTTCCAAGGAAACGGTGGTGGATGAGAACTGCCGACCTTTTGGTTAGCAGCTGAGCTCTTAACCACTGTGCCACCAGGGCCCCTGCTGTCCTTTAATACCAAGCCTAAATGTCTGTGATCTTCCCATGTGGCCTTTTTCTCCTCTGATCTCACAGCACCTTTATATTTATTACTCTATAGTAATTTTATGGAGCCCTGGGGCACAGTGGTTAAGATCTCAGCTGCAAACCAAAAGGTCAGCAGTTCAAATCCAGCAGCCACTCCTTGGAAATACTATGGGGCAGTTCTACTCTGTCCTATAGGGTTGCTGTGAGTTAGAATCGATTCGACGGCAATGGGTATAGTAGCTTTAAAAGGTCGTAAGTATCTATTTATTCCCTCCGTGTCCCCTACTAGATTGAGTTCTTTCAGAGAAGGTACATCTTTATCTTTGTATCCACAGACTTATCGCTATGCCTCATGCATAGCAGGTAGTATATAAAATCAATGGGTAAGAAGTTACAGGGAAACATGTCTTAGCTAGTCACAAGGAAGAATTATCTAACAGAACTGTCTCTCATGAAGCTGAATGCTTGCTTATCACTCCAAGTATTCCAGCAGAGGTGGCACACTGGTTAAGAGTCTGACTGCTAACCAAAAGGCCAGCAGTTCGAATCTACCAACTGCTCCTTGGAAACCCCCAAGCGGCAGTTCTACTGTCCCATAGGGTCGCTATGAGTGGAATTGACTCGATGGCAACGGGCTTGGTTTTAGGTTTCTATTTTAGCCTCTACAGTATACAGCTTGCCACTGTCAGAAAAGTATGAGTGGGGTGGGAGGCTGAATTAGGAAGTCTCTTTCTAGTTCTAAGATTCCCTGATTCCTCTGGTACACTTAGGCATTTATTTGTTGATGCATCTTGGTAAGGAAGGGGGAAAAAGTTGAAAATGTTAAGTGCTGCCACCAAATGAAGATCAATTAGAAGTTAAAATCTCAGTATCATTATGAAAGCCATGAGAAAGTAGGTTGAATTTATGTAAACTCTTTGGCAAAATATTATTCTGTAAAACAATACATCCATACTGGGAATATAAATGACAAAAGATATTTATTTACCTCTATAAGGCACAGGAATTGTTCCAGTGAGGTTCATTAGCTCCCTTGAACTGCCATCATTAAAAACTGAAAGGAAAGAATGATTTAATCGCATTTTCGTAGATAATCCCATATAAATTATTCTTTCAGAAAAATTGGTTAAATTCATTATTTTCCTTGAAAGGGGCTAATTTGTTAATGTACCATCCATTCTGCCAATAGCAAAGTATCCTCTGTTGGTTCACTCAGTGGGATCAGCTTTTGAATGAGTGCAGAAAAGATGCTTTGACTTACATGTAAAAACGGATAGGAGTAAATATGTACTCTGGGTACCCAGTTAACATGATGATAAAATTATTTAAAAATCACTATCAAATGATACCATACTCAATGTTAACAATATACTTCAGGTTTCCCAGACCTTTACTGCCACTCACTATCATCTCAATCCCAGTACAGTATCAAACCACAGAATTAAAAAGAAAAAAGTTTTCAGTGAAATGTAAACATTTTTAATATAAACATTTCTTACATCACACAAGTTTTTCTATCTACAATTGACTGATTAGTTAGGGCACATAATGTGCATTACATGGACTGCTATTATTTATAACAGTGATTTAGAGTTAACACTGTATCACATAGGGAAAAGGTTGTAATGAGCAGCACAAGAACAGCTCCACTGCTGATCTCATTTCTCTTACTATTGGTAATTATAAACTGTGCTGTAATGTACTCTGATTTTGTGCTTTTTAAAAAACACTTTATTTGAATTTGTGGCTTTGTTTACTATAAAAGCAGATGTTGGTAACAATGGTTTGGACTTGGTCCAGTTATACAAAGCCATACAAGATTTAATAACGTTGGAGTTTGTTAGTTTTGATCAACATATTTATTTTTTTAGGGTGCGGTAAAACTATATACTTACAGTAAAGTTCTAGCCCCAGTCACTTTTTTCCCATTGAAGCAATTTTTTAATTAACTATAATTTTGGAAATATGAAGTTTTTAAAAAATTCTAAATACCATACTACAGAATACTTTAATTTAACAATGCAGACAGGTATAAGGTAGGTCAAAATGATGGGGAATTGTGCCCCAGGTTTGGGAGAGGAGTTCCACTTCATGTCTTTGCTGTTCAGAAAATGCAGGGTTGACTGACCCCTCCATTGCCTACCATCTCTCTTCACCAGGATCCTAAGGTTTCCAAAGCCCTAGGAGTGGGTAGAGTTTGGAGGGCTAGTCTAAAGGAACTTTAAATTCAGTTCCCTGCCCTCAGTGCCAATCATAATGGACAGGCGGCAGCATGGGTTTTCCCTTGGCCCTGGCACGTGAGGTATTTTCAAGGAGCGAGGATTGGAGAGATTTATATTAGAGTCAGTGGGGACAGAAAAGACTATTTTTTAAAAATCAACTCTAGGCAGTGTCATTTCTTACTTAAATCTCAATTTTGTCTCAAATAAAAAGTAGAGACAAACTGCCACCTACCTACCGTACAGTCTATAACTGGACCATATTAGAAAATGTTTTCCTTGTCTGCAAAATGAAAGGGATAGTCCAGTGTATAGTTTCACAAAATGTGCTGCCAAGAATAAAAAGATGCTCTGGGGGGTAAAACCCGTTGCCATCGAGTTGGTTTCGACTCATGGAGACCCTACAGGACAGTAGACCTGCCCCATAAGGTTTCCAAGGAACGGCTGGTGGATTTGAACTGCTGACCTTCTGGTTAGCAGCCATGCTCTTAACCACTATGCCACCAGGGCTCCACATATTATACAATATATTCTCTTCTTTCCTCTCTTGGTGATATACAATACATTAGCATATCAAAGGCTCAGAGAAATCTTGCTGCAATGAAATCTATTTAATTTTGTTTAATTTAAAACTGATCAAACTTAATCATAGAACTTTCCCTGACCAAGCAGAATTTTTCAAAACCAGGGATCTATGCATAATATTTTGGGAAAGCAGAACTAAAGTATCTTTAACATCTCCTCTGGGTCTAAATTCACACAATTTTATGTTAAAGTACTTTTAAAAACTTAAAAGAATTAAACAAATATAATTATTAGAGCTGTTAACTTCTCACTTCCTAGAACTCTTTTTAGGTGGAGGGTCCACCTTACAATTGTAAAACCAACAAACTTAAAAGGAAAATGGGAAACTCATAACCATTAACAGAAAGAGTAAACTCAAAGTACAGTAACTGAATTTTCATTACATACACTCACCATATGAATCCAACACAGGTTTGAGATCTTTGTACAGAGTAATAACATTGATAGTTTCACGTACAGTTAGGTCTCTGTATTTGTACTGAAAAGCAAAATCACATAAGAATTTAGCTTAAAACCAATGCACATATTTTACTGCCAGATTGATTTCTTACAATATTTTCTTCATAGCACTTTACCTCATAGCACAAAAGTATAATGGTTCTCACCAATTATTAACATTAATTAAGGCCTGAAAGAACCTCAATAGCTTTCTCTCCTGTCACCTATTGGAATCCTATACTAAAGCTACTTATCTCCATTTCAGCTCTTCTTTCCAACCTAAAAGGCCCTCCACCAAACCAAATTTTAATCCTTCTCAGACTTAGCTTACATCTCCCTCTTCTCAATGAATCCTTTTCCAGACCTCCCTTTAGCCCCTAATGATCTCTCCCTTTTATCCAAACCCCAGCATTTACTGTCAATACCAATTATGTTCCAATTTATCATTTGTTGTCTTGTATTTTCACACCCCTACTTTGTACCACTCCACTCCAGGAAAACTAATAACCTGGTTTACACACTCCCAGCAGGAGATTAGGAGATCGGGGATCCCCATCTGACCACCATAAAATGAGAAGCTCTTTGGCTGACAAGCTCTATCCATGCACACAAACTTTCAATCGAATTTTAGTGCTCCTCTTCTAGAAACTAAAACAAACAAAAAAGAAGGAACCCTGAAGTAACAGAGATAACGCAAGAAGCAGAAGACTTAAAAAATAATTAGCATTAATAATTTCAAAGAGAAGAAGTGATATTGTTTCCATGAAAGAACACTCAGAAAACAGAAAGAACTCTTGGATATAAAAAAAATGTGAAAGAAACAAAATATTCAATTGAAGGATTAGAATATAAAGTCAAAGAAATCTCAGAGTCTAGTACAAAGACAAAATGATAGATAATAAGGGAGAAATACAAGAAAAATTAGGGAATAAATCCATAAGGTCTACTCAAAGGCATCTCTCAAGCATTTCTTGCTCCTTTTGTCCTGTGGCACCAATTTTTCCATCCTTAATAAACATATTCTTAATTCTCCCATCTTATTCAAACAAACACTCTCCTGATCTCCCTTTCTCTTCCAGCTACTATCATACTTCTCAGTTCTCCTTTATAGCAAAATACTGCAAGGAGCTGCTGATATTTGCTATCTTTCATTGGTCTCTTCTTAAAATTTTTTATTACGGAAAATTTCAAACATATCCAAATGTAGACAGAATGGTATAACGAACTCCCGTATATCCACCAACCAACTTCAACAATAATCAATTCACAGTCAACCTTCTAAATCTGTAACTTCATCCATTTTTCCCTCCTCCTGTATTATTCTGAAGCAAACCGTAACATCATATCCTATCATCCATAAGTATTTGGGAGTATATTTTTAAGATAGGGCTTAAAAAAAAAACGTAATACTTGATCACACCAAATATTCAGTTTCATGTCATATATATATATTTTAGTTTGTCTGAATCAGGATGCAAATAAAGCTCACACACTGCAATGTGATAAAATAATTTTAATCTATAGATTCTCCCTCCCATCTCTTTCTGTAACAGCTTTACTGAGATAGATTTACATATCATACAATTTATGCATTTAAGGTGCACAATTAGTGGTTTTTAGTAGATTCACAGAGCTGTACAACCAACACAATCAATTTTAGAACATTTTCATCACCCCAAAAAGAAACCCCATGCCTTTTAGCAGTTACTCCCCATTGCCCCATTCTCCCCAGCCCTAGACAATCACTAAACTACTTTCTATTTCTATACATTTGGCTACTCTGGACATTTCATAAAATGGAATTAAACAATATGTGGTCTTTGTGACTAGCTTCTTTCACTTAGCATAACGTTTTCAAGGTTCACTCATGTTGTAGCATGTATCTGTACTTCATTATTTTTTATTGTTGAGTAATATCCCACTGTATGGATATACCATGTTTTATTTATATATTTATCAGTTGATGGGCCCATCTTTTTTTGCCCCTTAAAATTTATTTGTTGAAGAAATCTGTTCATTTGTCCTACAGAGGTTCCCACAGTTTGGATTTTGCTATTTCCCCCAGTGTATGTTACTCTGTCCTCTGTATTTCCTGTGAATTAGGAGTGCTAATTATTAGAAGTACTAGATTATTGCAACAGCCTCTTTCTAGGTGTTCCTGCCTGTGTTCTTAACCTCCTGCAGTCTAGTTTCAACATAGCAGCTAGTGTGATCCTGTTAAAAGTCAAAACAGATTAATGGTTTCCCATCATATCGAGTAAATGCCAAAGTCTGCAAGGCCCTCTAAACTCTAGTGACCCCTTCCCATACCCTTATTACCACTACTTTCCCCCTTGTTCTCTCCAGGCCAGTCACCCTAGGCTCCATTGCTGTGCCTCTATCACGCATGGCAAGCTTCTGACTCAGGGTTTTTGCATTTGTTTTTCCTTCTTCCTTGAATGTTCTTAACCTAGATTGTTCTATAGTTTGCTTCCTCATCTCTTTCAGGAGTCTGCTCAACTGGTTCTCAGAAAGGCCTTCCTTTACTATTCAATATAAAATTGCAACCCACCACGTCCCTACTCCCTATCTCCCTTTCCTGATTTTTCTCCAAAGCATTTATTACTTTTCAATTCACTATTTAATGTACTTACTGAGTTGTTTACTGTCTTTCTCCTTTCATGAGAATTTAAGTTCTGGAAGCATAGAGTTTTGTCTCTCTTGTTCACTGATGCTTTCCTAGAGCCTACAAGTGTCAGCTGCATACTTGTTGTCGTTGAGTCGATTCTAACTCACAGCAACCCTACAGGACAAAGTAGAAATGTCCCATAGGGTTTCTAAGGAGCGGCTGGTGGATTAAAACTGCTGACCTTTTGGGTGGCAGCCACAGTTTTTTTTTTGTTTGTTTACTGTTGTAGTTTAAATGAAGTTTACATTTCAAGTTAGTCTCCCACACAAAAATGTATACATACATTGTTATGTGACCCTAATTGTTCTCCCCATACTGTGACAGCACACTCCTCCTTTCCACCCGATTCCCCAGGTCCATTCAACCAGCTCCTAACCCTTTCTGCCTTCCCATCTCACCTCTGGACAGAAGCTGCGTGTTTAGTCTCTTGTATCTACTTGAGCTAAGAGGCACACTCCTCACGAGTATCACTTTATGTCCCACAGTCCAGTCCAATCCCT